GAAATGCAGTCAATGACAGGGAATTACGTGTTGTATTATTCGTCATCGTCGTCAACGTTAGTAACGCCAACGCCAACGCCAACGTCGGCGTCAACAACAACGTTAGCATTGGTATCCGACATCAGGCATCATCATTTGCTTCATTATACACATAAGCTTTGCCATTTTTCATGCTGCATGCAGTCACTCGGACAACGTACGTGTGCTCATGTTTCTTGAGCTGTTAACCATTTTTATTATACCATAGTTCGCTGTCATTCTTCACTATTTTTGCTGTTGTTATCTATGGTATAGATGGCGTTTTTTTATAGGTGGCGCTAGCTGTGCTGCTGCTGACTTCTCTGCTGCGCTATATTTCAATTGAAATTGTTCTTCAGTTTTATGTTGCATTTGCCACCTACACATGCCACCTTCATTTATTTTGGTTCATTATTTTTTTTTATTTTCCGTTTTTTCATGTTTTTTTTTTGTCATAAATTTTTATGCAAATTTGCATTTCTCCCATAAATTTAAATTTGGTATATTATTGTTGTTGTTATTATTGTACATTTTGGGTGTTGTTGTTTTATGATATGTTTTTGGCGTTAAATTGGCAAAGCTTTATTGTTGACAGTTTTGCATTCACTTTCATTATATTTCCATTTGATTTATTAGTAATTTTATATATTTAAATATTTTTTTCCACTTTTGGTTCCGTTTTTATACTTTTTACATAATTCAGTCAATAAACTTTTGGTTTTCATTGTTTGTTGTACGAATTGCTTTTGTTATTGTTATTATTTTTGTTATTATTTTGGTTCTTGTTTTTCATTTCATATTTGTTGTTATTTTGACAGCTTAAATAATTAACTTAAGCCTCCACATATGTGTGTGTGAGTGTGTGTGGCTTCAAGGTATTGCAAAGTTCCCACTTTAAATTGTGTTAATTAAATCCACACATGCTACGTGATTCCATCATTTTTAAATCAATTTTCACAAAAAATTACAAAAAAATAAATTGTTTATAGATATACACAGACACAGACACACACATATACAATCAAAAACTATGAAATAACCACAGCTTAATTCAAATAAATTGAAAATTAATTCATAAAACTTGAAAAGAAATATGAAAGTGAATATGTGTAACTACGGATATCTGCATAAAAATTGTATCTATCAGCTTTTTCGGGCCAGAAACTCATATAACTCACCAAACCTAGTAATGTTGTCATTCATACCCATTTATAACATAATATATTTAAAAAGTAGTGAGAAAAATATAGGCTATATTTTAGCGTGGTATAATTTAGTTCATTTAAATGAACTAGTTCAGTAGTTTGTTTTTTGTAAAATAAACTACTGAACTACCGGTCTTAAAATACAACTTTTTGTACATTATGTTATATTGGTATTTTATTAATTTTGTTTCTCCTTCACCAAATTTAATTACTCTGTTTTGTTTTGGTCAAATTCTTTCAACGTTTTCAAATTTATTGGGTTGCTAGTGAACTTATCAGTTTCATTGTCCTTCATATACTATTAACTAAAACATATTACTAATCTCTTTCTTTATTACAAATCTCTTTCTTTGGTGGTATATCACTACTTCTAAGTTTTTCAATTAGGTAGGGAAAAAAAATTTTAACTTGAAAGCTGCACAATTTAGTTCATTTGAATGAACTAGTTCAGTAGTTTATGTTTTACAGAACAAACTACTGAACTAAATTTTGAAAATTTCTTTAAACTCAATGCGTTGTTAGATAATTTATCAGTTTCATTGATAAATTTTCTAGTGCCTTTTCTTATGATGGCAATTTTTTTTTAATTAATAAAATCTCAATAAAATGTTAAACTAAAAATTTTTGAAAAAAAAAACAGTTTCATTAGATAATTAATTTCACTAATTAATTACTAATTAATTAATCTTCTTTTTTGTTTGATAAAATGCGAATTAGTGTTTATAACACTTTTACTCAATAGTATCTGTCACCACTTAGGTGATTCACTGTAACAAGAGCCCCGTTAAATTATAGTAATAAATTATTTAGATGAATTATAACAGAAGTATAGGTAAAGCCCAGCATATCTTCCTGACAGTACATAAATTGTATTTAATTCTGGAGAGTGTAATTCTAAATTAGTGTAAGCGCACACAGAATCAAACAATTTTAACACTCTGTCTTGGATGTACTTTTGTACAGTCTCAATTCTTAAGTCTGAGTATATACATTTCTGATATACCATTAAGCTTTTAGCATGCGTCATAATATAATATTTTGATAAGTTGGTGGTGGAGTACACAACCTTAAAATAGTTTATGTCTAATTACTTAAGCTATAATTTGAGAATACGTTCAAATACTTTTTTGCGGTAGAAAATGGTATTAACTTGATGCCTTTAAATAAACTTTGCTCCAAATACACCAATAAAGTACGTCGGTCGATGTCAGGGTTGCCCAAATCATCATAGAGGATGATAATGCTTTATTTTAACCATTTGAATGTTTTCATTTTCATATTCCTTCATCATTTTGTTTGTTTACACTGGATTAGGAAAGTTTCCTTATTAACGAAGAGAATATTTAGCATTTAAGAAGTGTTCGTCTTATCGCTCTTTTGCGCGATCGAGTCTAGTCTTTTTTTCTGGAGAGTCTTTTTTCGATAGATCTTTTATGGCTTTTGAATTTATTTTGGAGAATTCGTTGCGTGGTGCTTTTTGATATATGTATCTGCAATAAGACTTTCATTGTTCTAGTTTTTTCTTATACATTTGCCTTTTAACAATTCATTTTACTTACAATATATAAAAAGAAAACCTACTTTACTTTACTTTACTTTCGATTAGATATATCGCTATCAGATTAATATGTTTGAATTTCACTACAAAAGGCAATATTGCTACTTCTAAATCGTAAAATCAGCTATTAATAGATGAAATAAGGGTGCAGTGTTGCCATCCCAGCTCTAAAGTCAAAGTAATTTGAAATTGGTTACTATTTATTTGGGCCACTCTGTATATAGTATACAGATATATAGTATATACATAAATAACTAACTATAACTGTACAAATATAGTTATATACATATGTATATCTACACATATAGTTTTACTAACATAAGCATAAATATATAAACTATAACTTTGAAAAATGGTATATAAATTATTAGAAACTATAATCAGATATTTTACTATGATAATAATATATAAATATCAAAAATAATTGACTAGGTGTTAATGTTAAATGCTAATTATAATAGATATATTTTAATTATGTATGAATGCTAAATATCAATTCATATAAATGATTATTTAGACATACACATTTTCTGATAAATAATCTATACATTAATATTATTAAAATCCCACTGAATATCTTTTGTAAAGTGCATATTTTTAAGTGGTAACATTGAATTATCTGCAATTTTATGGTCGTATGTGGTATTAAGCTATTCATAATAACACTTAAAGCTCAATTCGTTACAGCCACTTTGTTAATGAAATTTTAAAATACTTCAAATTATTTGAAATTTACAAGTTAACATAAGATTTGCGTTCTCGTAAATAAGCAAATAACTTTGAAGCGAATTGCCGAACCCCATGCACATTTCCGGCAATTTGCAGCCGTAGTCGTTTTGTTGAGATACTTTGCATTATTGGCAATTCCCAGCACAAAGCGATTCTTTCATTAAAAAAAAAATGAATATTCATTCAAGCGCTACGCAGTCGAAGAGGTAATTGAACCTGGGGAAACCTTGACTTGAAGACCTAAACTTGACTTTGTCTGCAAGATGTAAACAAATGAGCAAGCAAACAAACCAAAAGTCAATGAAAGAGTTTTGAACTTGAAAAATTATTTGCGGCTATAATTAGAAATTTATTTTTAAAACAGAAAAATTGTTAAGATACATTGAAGATACATATATGATTAAATACGATACAAGGATTAAAGGCTGGAACCGAAGATTGCAAAAAATTATTTTCAAATGAGTTTATTGTTTTATATAAATTAATGCTAATGTATCTACATTTATATTTGTTAATGATTTAATAATTAAATATAAACTGAAGATATAAAATAGTGAAGAACAAATGTTGTTGACCTCATGCCATAAAAGAAGTATCCATAATTCATCGAACCGTATTAATTGATGCGGTGCAGCGCAGCATCTTTATTTGTTTATTACGCATTATGGACCGATACTGAGATGCGAGTTTATTATATGCTATCAATTTTTATTAAAGTTTCATTATTTTAATGATGCTTTTTGAAATAACCATAAAGACATGTTGACTTCAATATTACGAGCGCCTATCAAAGTAACTGCACATTTTTAATATCAGTGATTAGACCCAACTTTGTGGTATTTGAAGTTAATTTGAAGTTGACGTGGATGATTTATTTAAATGCGTGTATGTAAAGTTGCATTCACCCATGTATCTGGTATCTATCTGAAAACGAGCCTAACATGTTTAGCGCTAAGTAAATTGCAACTACGAGTGCGAAATTGGCAACTTCAACTTGCAATTGGAGTTGCAAGCGCAAACACAAACTACCAGTTTGACTGCATTTATGGAAATAATATTATAAAATTATTATTATACACAATATTTATTTTTTCTTTTTTTTTTTGTAAATATATTAAAACTTTTCTGTATATTCTAAGTCAAGTAATAATATATCTGCAAGCAGTTTGGACTTGTCAATACTGCACCAACCAATCTGGCTTAACTTGAACTTGTTGAAATTATCGAGGCTAAGATTGCCCAAGCATATCCCTGGCACGATATTTGGGTAATAAAAAATCAATCATGCTTTAAATTTTTTTAATAAGATTTTAATAAAATAATTAAGATTTAATTATTTTGATATTAAATTTTCAAATTTAAAAATTGA